CAAACAAACTTAAACGAAATTTATGCATCGCAAACTGCAAGCATCGAGCGAGGTGGACATCCCGACATGGAATTTCTTCAGGGATCTTCGTCTGTATGCTTCCCACTCGGTGAAGGACATAACGGGCATTTCCTCAAAAGCGCAGCTGGTGCTTGGCACTGAGATGGCCAGCAACTCAGCAGGGAGAACCGACAGCGAGCGAAAAGGGAGGAAATGGGTATTTTGTGGGCTCTCTTGCAGATGTCCGTCCCATTGCAGCACCGGGGCAGGCCAGCCAGTCCCAGGTCTTTCAAGCGCTCATGCAGGACATACCGCTGTTTGGCTGTGCTCCCAACAAAGAGGATGCCACTCAGAGAAAGGAACACAAATTCATGCCCTGATTGTAACGGATAATCCTTGGTAGCATCCTTCAGCTGGGCTGTTGCCTCTTTGAGAAGCTTGGGTGGTTGCCACCCGATAGCATGGTGGGTCTATCACTCTGTGGGGTCCCAGCATTTTGTTTCTTGCCGGGAGTAGGCCTGCTATACGCAGGTGGTAGTGCTGCGCATGGGGCCGAACCGTGCATCGAATAAAACACAGGCGATGGCGCCGCGTTGTGATTTCTTGAAGTTGGGCCGTCATGTTTAGTGCGCCCTGGTTAGAGGCAGCTTCGACAACTTGGGCCCAAGCTGGCGGGGGTGCCTGAGAGAGGAAAGGCAGTGATCCAGTCTGTACCTCCTTGTGAGCCATGCGCTTGGATTCTCCCGTATATGAAGACTCTTCCCTATTCATTGCCTTGAGCCAAAGGGAGCAGCAATTGCAACACGTGTGGGGGCAACTACTAGGGATCAGGCATGGGCAGCCGTATCTCTCGTAGGACCCTTCACTGTTCGGATCCTGTCATCACCGATCACCGTTGCGAACATCAGTAGCAGGAGCTTGCGGTCAGCCATGATGGCAATGTACCCAGGCTACGCGAGCCGTTGCCTTTTGGCAGTGTTTCCAATCCTGGCTCGCTTCGCAAGCCTTTCCTCTGATGCTACCTGCGCTTGCACGCTATCAGCTTGGTACACGCGTTTGGTAAAGTTTACCGGTGGGGTGCTCAGCTACCACTCAGCAACCGCCCAGCAAGGGCCCATGGAAACCAAGCTTCCTGGGTGGGATGGCCTACATGGCTAGATTCCTGTTGCTTTGTAAGCACTCAGATTGGAGACCACCTGGATGTGTAGCAGGATCACAGCTGCACCGCAGCTTTACTGAAAGAGGGCGTCAAATGCACCAGTATGACAGCTTGAGCCTTGCTACTGAAAGGGATTACATAATTGGGTTGGGGTGAGTGGCATGGCCTCCCTGGGACACAGCGTAGTGACTTTTTGTCTTGCTGTCATCCGCCTAAGATGCACGTCACTGTGCTTGTTGACTTGTTGTCCTAGTGCGCTGTTGCGTGACTGTCACTGGACCATCACGTTACCATCATTGTCATTGTTTGAATTGTTTGCAGGGTGTGTTGTAGGGTGTTTTTTGCGTACTCTAAAAAAAATTGGAGAACCCTTTTTGTTGTTCAAAGCACAGCAACTAATGAGGCATCTCAGGCCTTGGTTGCGTTGGGCGTTGAGTTTGATTTGCACGGTGGCTGGTACGGATGCGGTGGCAGGTTGAGCCAGTTGTCTTTGTGGGAGTGCCTCAATGTGTACCTTTGTGTTGGCCGGGTGGCCTTAAAGTCACCAAAGTATTGAACAAAACCTTTGTGGATATATGACTATCATATAATAAGAAAGATTGGGTTTCTTCCTTTTGCGTTTTCTTTATAAGCTAGACTATTAGCTAGTATATCAGTCTCTCGCGTTTCGTCAAGACAAGAAGCGGAAAATACACATTGACAAGCAAACTTCACTGCCACATCTGCATGTGTGTGCGTGTGTGTTGGACGCGCGTACTGGAATGACAAGACTGCAAATTCTGAACAAATGAGTTCAATGCCAGTGAAAAAAACGGCCATACTGATTGTGAATTCATTTTTCTTTCCACCCAAATAGCTCAAATGCCGATTTGTAATCTCAGCAGATTACCTCAAGCAAGTGAAAACCCGGTCACTCACCCCAGGCCGCTTCAATCCCCAAAACTCAAGTCATTGGTGACCATTGGTGATGGCGGTCCTGCCACACAAAGAGATCATGCGCGTTTTCTAGTTTCTGTGTTCTGACATTCAAAAGTTTGCATCAACAGGATTCAACCACCTTTGGCACAAGCAAATCAATGAAACACATCGAATCCACCGGCCCTACTTGCCTGCGATACAGGTCATAGATGATTCAACATAGGCAAAAAAAACTGGAGAAACGCATTTCAAACACTCGACATTTTCTTGGGCTGCTCAAACACGCCCTGGGCATGTTCACTGAGCAAAGGACTGGCAAAAGCGGCAAAAGAGTGAGTGAACTCTTTCGCTTCACATACCTAAGCTAACATAGGCTTCAAACACCTATGGCCCATGTGTTTTCACATGGGTGCCCCCCCCAAAGCTAACGATTCAGCTCTTCGGCTCGCGTCACTGCCCAGCCCAAGTCAAAGTTCAAGAGTTTTCTTTCTTCTCATTTTGCATGAGCTTCAAAGACAATTCGGCCACCTCCTTCAAACTGTTGGTCAAGGGCAAAAGCTTCGAGAAACATTCAACCTCAGACATGCCTGTCGTGGAGCGTCCGATGAAGGACCGACGAATACCCACCAGTGGCTTGCCATTCTCGACCCTCTCAAGGACCAGCCAAGCAGGTGGAACATAGAGCATGCTCCCAGCAGGTTGGCACACGGCAATCACCTTCTCTCGCAAGTTTGCCTGGACCAACTGCCAGAAAGACATATTTTTCCATGAATGGATCACATCTGCAAGGCTCTCCCCCTCTTTGCCCAAATACTGAACCAAATCTTCGATGTTCAGCATAAAGATTTTCCGTGCACCGCTATGGACATACCGAACTTGGGCCAGACCCTTGTCCTCAAAGCCGGCATACTCCATGTCGCCGGCCCCTCCAAACAGCGCTGCGTGAAGAAGGGGTCTGAAGACCTTTGCCTCTTCTCCAGGTGTTGGGACAGGAAAAGTGAAAGACGAAGCAACCTTGTCAAACACAGCGCAAATAGTTTTTTGGATTTCATCCCCGACCACAGGGCATTGGGCTCGGCCAGTCTGTTTGCAAATCTGTGTCCCCAAGAACTGGTTTCCAAAGTTCACAAGTTGACACTTCGCATTGACATTGTCAGCCAGCAGCTTTTGCATCAAGTCAAACTGTTGGATCAGAAAAGGCTCATCACCAAACACTTTCTTCGCGTTCTTTTCAAAGTCATCGAAGTTGGAAAACTGTTGGATCTCGGTCTCGAGCTTCTTCAGATCAGTTGCGAGGAGAGTGTCACCCTTCTGGGGTCCATTGGCAGCAGCAGCTGCTGCTTTTTCAGCATCTGCTTTCTTTTTGTTCTCTTTCTCTAGGTCAAGCTTCCGCTTCTTTTCAGCTGCCTCTGCCTTCTTCGCCTTGCTCTTCACGGCCAACTCAATGTCCTTTGTGCTGGATTTCACTGCGTTCCGGATCTGTGAGTGGATGGAGACCATGTTCTTGACATCGTTGGCAGCTTGCTCCACCCCATCTCTCTTCTCCTGCGCCAAGACTTTCTGGTTCATGTCATGCAACTGGCCTACAACTAAAGTGTTGCGGAGCTGCTCTTCAGGCACAGGCTGGTAGCCCAAGCTGTCCTTCAAACTGTCAAGCTTAGCGAGGAAACCATCTGTTGTGGTTTCATTGGTCAAAGCTGTCAGCAATTTCACTCGAACATTCAGGATGTCAAAGAAGTGTTTGAGGTTCTCTTTCTCCGATGCGTGTTTCTGGCACAATTGATCCGCAGAGTGCAGTGCGGAAGCGCTCTCACTTCCCAAGCCTTGAATGGCTTTGGCGTTCTTGTCAAAAAGTGAAGCACGGTAACGAGCAATGTCTTTGTGTCTTCCCCCTTTGTTGGTGTTTTCTGGTTCAGGTTCTGGAACAGGAACATTCTCTGTCGGAGAAGTGCTGGCATTGGCGGCACCAGGTTGCTTTGCATCTGGGCTGCCAGAAGTGCCACCCCTCAACTTCGGCTTCATTCCAAGCAACTCAATGCCTTCCTTGCTGTTGACTTTCTTCTGCTTGGAGCATGTCGAAATCTCCTGGAGAATTCAAGAAACACTTCACAATCACAACATGTTACATATATATAACCTGGGTTCCAATCGCACCCTGCAAATCACTGCAATGAATGACAGTTTTGCGCATCCTCGATCAAAAACTGTTTTGTGCAAATTTGTATAAACATGTCTACCCCCTGATCCCCCTGAGCCAGAACCATGTCCTTTCTATCACCAGTGACATTCTCCGTGAGCTTGTAGTCCTCAACGCTGACAGCGAACCTCTTCTCAAAGTCCTTCCGCCCCTTGAAGTCATGCTCCGTGCCACTCGACTCCATCTCTTGCCATTTCGAAATGGCTTCCGCGCCAGTGTAGCCCTTGACCTTCATGTGAACCTCATAGTCAGGGTAGTCCATATACACCTCCTTCGAGCCAGTAACAACGCGTTCCTCGGAAAAGGCCTGTTCCATGTAGGATACCCAGTCCATCTTGCACCGTGGAACTCCTTGGCCCCTGGAAGGACAATTGATTTGGTAGTGCGCAATCAAGTGGCGCAGTCCCGCTGTGGTTTTGGTCAAGCGCTTGTAGTCTTCCAGTCTCCCTTCAGCTTTGGCTGCATTCTGGCACGACTGGACGTCTTTTTTGCACTCAGCACAGTAGGCAAACTTTGGAGCACATGGCTCTTTCTCACACAGCGCGCACAGCTTTTGAGCTTTGGACGATCCGGCTGGCCTGGAGCCGTTCTCTGTCTTGACTTTCTTCGGCACGGGTTGAGCAACTCTAGGACTCTGTTGCTCTCCAATCTTCCGCTTGTTGCCACCTTCACCGTCACCGCCTCCACCACCAAGCAGGTCATCAGCGGCATCAAACGCAAAATGCACAGCTGGGTCACTGGCGTTGCCATCTGACTTGGGCACATCAGAACCAGGAGTTTCTCGCCTCAGACCTTTGTCTGGGGAACCGTTTCTTTCACCTTCCCCGTTCATGGCCACAAGACCCTCTAAGCAAGAAGGATTGCAAAGCTGAATTACTGGCTTGAATCAAAAGAAGGCATGATGAGGATTCAGGAGTGAGACGTCAAACTCAAACCATTGTGAAAATGAAAGCTGCTTTGTGAGAACAAAACAAATAAATGGTTGTTCACTTTATCACAAATACACAAAACAGACAATTCCTCTTTTTCTTGACTGGAGACAGTCGCGGCACTCCAGTGGGCCTAATTTGCCAGTGATTCCTGGCTGTCTTCAAAACCACTCAATGCACGAGACATTGGGCGAATGATCGTGGAGGGTTGGTATTCCACACTACTCATGGCATACAGGATCATTGATCCAACCGTTGGGAGGTACATGGCATTCCCTATCATTTTGTGAGCCTCAGCACGGGTCAAATCCATTTCATAGAACGCCTGGAACCCACATTGGAACTTCGCACCACAGAGAGGGTGAACTGGAAAGCCTTGAGCGCCAAAAAGTTCAGCCATGCAGGCATGGCGGCCCTTCTCTAGGGAGAAAATGGTGCCATGCCTAACCAAAGTAGGCCAATTCCTCCCTGCAGCCATGAAACCAATGTTGTGGTCAAGGTCGCAAATGTACGATGGGCGAGGCTGTCCTGGAGCTGAAGAAGAATGGCAGTGCGTCTCCCTGTGCTCTTTGATCACGGCCTGCTTGTTTGGTGACTAGAAACAGTCCCAAGCTCCACTTGCCAACTCCTGGCGGACATGCCTGGTTTCAGCCAAGGCCATTTTTCTTTTTGCACTTCTGGTGAGTCCATAGGAAGGAAAAACAAATCATCACCTTGGAGCTGAAGAGATCGTTCGAACAGGCTGTAGTACTCATCAGCGCTACCCATAAAGGTAACCTTTTTCCGCAAGAACCCAAGGCAATACATTCGGGGCCTGGAAATTGGCCAGCCATGGAAAACAGGACCTGCGTGGTCAATGAACACCAAGTGGTAGAGATCCTGCAGAGTGTTCTGGAGCAAGTCTTGCGGAAATCTCTTGGCGCTTTCCAAAACCAAGATGCAAGGCTGCAGCTTCCTGGTATGGGCAGCCCATATATAGAACGGGCGCATTGACTGGTGAGCAAACCCTTCGTGTTGGCCCATCGCGCTCCAAGCAACGCAGGTCAAACCTGCAACAGACAACCGCTCTTCACCAGGAGGAGGATCACCAAAATCAAGCTCACAAGGGCGCATATGCTCCAAGCAATCACTCTTGTTATCCACAGCCACATCAGTAGCCAGCAACCACTCCCCCATGGACTGGTAACGCTGGGTTCGCTCATCCAAAATTTGTTTCTTTGTTTCCTTCGAAGCATCAGCAGGAAGGGGTGGACCACTTGACTCCAACCAATCAAGGTGCTCCGCCGCCGCTGGGGTGAGCCAGCCGTTCAAGTCTTTGAAACAATGCTTGGGCTTTCTTCCAGGCGTAGTTCCCAACGTCAAGCTTTGGCACATGGTATCGATGTCACAGCTATAGCTAAAGTCATGTCTCAACTCTGCACCCAGCGTCTCCTGGATTGCGCCGGCCAAGGCTGCAAAGGCAACTTCTTCTGCGCGCAGACCAGAGTAGTCTGAAGATACGCGCCACATTTTGTTGATGGAATTCATCAGCCTTTGGGTTCTCTCCTCGCTCTCACAAACCACCTTCAGCATCTCCAGGGGCCATTGAAATCCTTCCTGGAGAGTTTGCGGACCAGGGCGCAGGGTCCTCTCAGGCTCAGGATCCGGCTCAGTCTTTGATCTCTTGCCAGCAGCTTTGCTAGTGCCACCAGGTCGCTTCATGGCTCAACTCAGAGAAGTGGGTGAATAAGTATGACAAATGCACCAGCAAGCATGAACCCTGATGGGCTTGACTTTGCCAGTTGCATGCTTACTCTGGAACTGTCATGACACAAAAAAATTCGGGCCCCCTGAGCCAGCAAGAATGAAGTCCGAAACCAAAATGCTTATATATGAATAACCTGCTTTTATATATATCTCAAGAATGCTCGTGTTCAAGACTCCCGGTCTCTTAGACATGTTTGCTGTTTCCTTGACAGCTGTGAACTCTGCAACTGCTTCAATATTTGCAATGTGCTAAAAGCTCTTAAAAACGCCATCAGTGCCTGAGCGACTCTACACTATGCTGTGTGAGAAGGCATCAAACTTCAGAAGACTCTTTTTGTGACTGGGGCGGAGTCAACAACTAGGACTATACAAATTACTCCGCTTTATAGATCGAGGCATTGCACAGGCAATGTTTGCACGGTTGCAACACTGCCGCTTGTGGCCCTACATGCCGACATCCCTCCTTGTGATAGATGTGGCTGGAAGGGTTTCGAAACAACTTTGGCAATTCAGTCACATCACTTGAGCGCTGGACAATTTCAATCTCATTGACGTGGCTCTTCTTTTGATCACATCCTGCTCGTCCATAGGAAGTCGTGCCAGCAAAGCAAATCCCGATGAAGAAACCCAGGCTCCAAATCAAGATGGCAATGGCAAGAAGGCATGCCAGAAGAACGGCGTCACCAATCTCCATGGCACATGGGGTGGTAGGCTCCTGTTGTCTTACAGGATTGAACTGCTAATCGACCTTGAACACAGTCACCAAATGGAGGTTTCCAAGAATTCTTTCTGCGAGGACCTGGAAGAGGAGTGGAACAACAGAAGCAACTTGTACTTAGGCATTTCGAGCTATTTCTGCGAAAATGAATGCTCAGCAAAGAATGCAAAACAAGAATGTGTGCTCAGCGCCAAAAACCATCAAAATCACCAACAAAATTGTCAATCTCAGCGGAACATACAGATTTCATCAAAATACACAGAAACGTGCTCAGAACCAGGAAAGTCCAGGCAAAACATCATGAAATTTGATTTTACTGTTGGGTTTTACTGTCGAACACATCAACTTTCGAGACCTTTCGTGAACCTTTCGTGGACCTTCGAGACCTTTCGTGGACTTTCGAGATTTGGCTAAAAATCAATATTTTTGGCTATGTTTCCATATAAAAATCATAAGAAAAAACATCCACTAAACCCTATTCAAGGGTTCATCCAATCATCGACTATTCATGGCCGGAATTTCTCGGAATCGAGGATCCTGGGTGGTTCGAACGTGGAACATAGTGAGAAATGTGCTCCCAGCAGCTGGCAAAGCTCAAATCCCTTTTCCTGAGCCTGACTTTCTGGTTTTTGCAGAAAGTTGAAGATTTCTAGCGTGATCTCGGTGATCTAAGATGGATCAGTCTTCTGGCGCTTCCGCTCACGTTCCTCAAGTTCAAACAAGCGCCCATGGATATCCCCTCAGTCCTAAAATGGAAGATCGCCCGTACAACCAATATGGCCAGTTCCTCTACACAGAAGGCCGATGGGACCAGCTCTGCGCATGGCTCACTGGAAACCCCTCGTTCAGGAGGCAGCTCGCAGGCCACAAGCAGGCACTTAGGGACCAAATGGGATACAGTCAGGAAGACTCCGATCCGCGTAATAAAGCTCGCCGTACCGTCCCTCCTCCAGGAGAGGGAAGCTCCTCGTCTGCAGCAGGGTCTTCCGGTCACATCAGGCCTCCCCCACCGCCTCCGCCTTATGGGTGGTGGCAGTAGGGAGGTCTCTAGTAGGAGCCTCCGCACACAAAAGACCCACAGGAGGCTTTCACTGGCGGAGCAGCACGGGGCCCTTTCTGATCCATGCCATGCACAGTAGACAGGTCCATGAACTGTGAATGCATGTCTACGTGGTAAACAACCTTCTTCACATCTTTGGAATGTTTATGGGTTGACCCCCAAAGCATGCATGACTGGAAATTAGGTCTCTCCTGACTCACGCTAGCAACAATGGGTGCCAAAGATGGGTGGTTTGAAACGCCCATGGTGATTGATGCCTGCAAAGGATGGTACAAAGACTCTGCATCTTGAGCAAGATCCTGAATCAAGTTCGGATTGGTTTTTGACAAGTTGACCAGCAAAGGCATGCGTTCAGCCATGCTCAAAAACACAGGACCAGCGTTGCTGGCTTTTTTCAAGACCTTATGGATGATCGCACGGCGTCCCTCAATAGGCTTTTCCGAAAGAGGAATGAATCTGAGCTTGGCGCTGAAAAGTTCAAGCTTTGGCAAGGCTTGCAATGAAGTCCCACGAATGAACTCCCTGAACTGCGTGCTTAGTTCTGAACCTGGCAGCAACAGTGCTTTGGTCACTCCGTGCGCTGCTTCTTTCTCAGCCTCAGTGAAAGAAGCCCATATCCGCAAACAAGCACCAGCTTCTGCTCTGGCTACACCTTCATCAAAATGGCCCAAGCTAACGAGCCTATGTGGCAAGTGTGTCCAACATGCAGTTTGCATGACAAGGCTGAACATTAGATGTTGGCGCCCTGCCTCGAAGTCTTCCAGAATCCAAGCCCGGTCTGTCTCACTGCAAGCAAGGGTGTGTCGCAGCACAACTTCAGAGGCTGACAGGTAGCGTACTACTTACCTCATCTTCTGCTACCAGCATTTCGTCTTGCGCTGGACGTGTTTCGGGGGAGGCTGGATGATTGCTAAGGCAATCACCCTCATCTGCACAAAAAGTGGTAGCACTGTCGCCGTCCTCCGTGCGCGTCGTCTTCCTCCGGCTGCGCGGCGCTCGGCATGGTAGGCGACTCTGAGGAGGAGCTGTGGACAGAGACTGCTTCACTTGCTTCTTCGTCGGCCATCGTGGCATCTGTCGCCGCAGGAGAGAACCGGGGCTGTCCCGCTTGTACGCCATGTTCCTCTTCTTCTGTGACACGGTCAGAGACTGAGAGGACATCAGGTGTTGCGCTTGGCTGAGGCCAATAGCAGCCGCGCACTAAAAGGCCCGGTTGCGGCGGCAGGACGAGGTCAGACCCGGGGGCATCCAGGACTGGCTGTACTCTCCATGCATCATAAAAGTACACGCGGTGCAAGGCTTCGAAGGTGTAGTCCTGTGCACTGCACTGTTCACCGGTGCATGGCGTTGGTTGATAGCGCAGGGAGCTTCCTACGCTGCACCTTTGCCCTGGGCCAAAGCTATTGTGAAGGAGTCGC